CTGGTACAGTTCTCAGATGAATCAGATGCCTCTTTCCTCTATCCTCAGAATGAGAAGCAAGCTCTAAAGCTGCCCAAGGTCCACCCTCATGCCACTTCTGATGGGAGATCTCTATGACTACTGAGTATCCTTATAGAGGATTCCTCTAGCATCCTTTGCTAGAGGAATCCTTTCTTCTTCAAAGACTGATGTCCCTCCACTTCCAACACAGATCCTTGACTCCCAGCAGCCAATTTATTTCAGTAACCATGTGTATTCATACTCTACTTCTAGAAGTGCCACATCCAATAATTTAGATGCAAGAAACGAGAGAAAATCTAAACAGGGTCCACTTCTTTACCCATCTACAAAGTCAGTTCAAGATATGTGTAGATTCTAAATTTAGCTACTTGGCTTTTTTTGGAGGTAAAATTCAAATAACTTAAAATCTACTATTTTTAAATGTACAACTCAGTGTCAGTTATTATGTCTACAATGCTGTGCAATGTTACATCTTTTAAGTTTTCAAATATTTCTATCTCCCCAGCTTCTTCTGTTTTTTACATTCTCTTTTCATTGTTCTTCCTAGATGTATTTAGAGGGGAATGCTGCTGCACCACAAAATAATGCTACTGCCTTCAAATACTTTTCCATGGCAGCTAATAAGGTATGTCCTCAACCCACTACTGTGAACACATACAAACAATTGGCTTTTATTATATGCAGATTGGTGCCTAAGAGTTGACTTCAAAGTGCAAGCCCAGATAATGGGCCCAGCAGGAGTTTTAGGTCCTGGAGAAACACAGTAACTTTGACAATGAACTACAGAGGTAAAACGGAAGGAGGTACAAACATGTGTTTCTGATACATGAGGAAGGGCAGTGACTTGTGTCACCCTAGCAGGGACTGACTGGAGGCCAGACAACGAGTCAGTTTTGCTCTCTCCTGTGCAATAGTTGAAGCCATCTAGCTCAGGAATGGGAAATGAAAGATGAGGGCAGAAGACTGGAAAACTCATCTGCTAATGACCATAAGCCTAGGACAAAACCAAGCAGGAAAGGTCTAGTTTGCTCCAGTCAGATCTGAGCTCCCATTGTCCTAGGCAGGTGGCCATGACACAGTGATTAAAAACAAGGTTCTGGAGACAGACTCCTTGGCTTGTATGCCAGCTCTACAACGGTGTGTCTGTGTGACCATGGGTACTTAGCCTTCTGTGCCTCCCTTCCTCCACCTGTAAGATGAGAATATAAAATTTGGCTGATGATGATGATGTCTGGATTGAAGGATTTAGTATATATGTGTCTCACATTATAAAACGCTCAAAACAGTGTTCAACACATACAAGTGTTGTGTACCCATTATTGTCTTTCACTGTCTGAAGCCCATTAGGTAGAATGAACATCAAAGCAGATCCAAGGCAGAAATGATTGGAATTATAAGCAAATATAGAAATGGTGTAGTGGTCAGCCCTCCACACCCCAGGTTCTACCTCCCTGGGTTCAACCAACTATGAAACAAAGGTTTAATAAAACATTACATCTGTATTGAATATTTGCAGGCTTTTCTTGTCATTACTCCCTAAATAATTGCATATAACTGGTTATATAGCCTTTATATTGACAGATTATTTCAAGAATACAGGAAGATATGTGTATATTATGTAC